GCATCGGGCTCCCTTGTCTGGAGGGGATCCTGCTTCCCCCTCTGCCTGCCACCCTCCCTGCTTGTGCTCTCTCACTCTAATAAATAAATAACAACTTAAAAAAACAAACACACACACACACAAAAACAAAAAAACAAACAGAAAAGGGGCGCCTGGCTGGCTCAGTCGGAAGAGCATGTAACTCTTGATCTTAGGGTTGTGAATTCGAGCCCCACGATGGGAATATTTTATTTTTATTTATTTTTTTAAAAAGATTCTATTTATTTGTCAGAGACAGAAAGAGAGAGTGCACGCGAGAGCACAGAGTGGCAGGCAGAGGGAGAAGCAGGCTCCCCGCTGAGCAAGGAGCCTCACTCGGAACTCGATCCCAGGACCCTGAGATCATAACCTGAGTCGAAGGCAGACGCTTAACCAACTGAGCCACCCAGGTGTCCTGGGAGTAGAGATTACTTAAAAATAAATAAATAGGGGCACCTGGTTGGCTCAGGCGGTTAAGCATCTGCCTTCAGCTCAGGTCATGATTCCAGGGTCCTTGGATGGAGCCCCACGCCAGGTTCCCTGCTCAGCGGGGAGCCTGCTTCTCCCTCTCCTCCCTGCTAGTGCGCTCTCTCTCTCAAATAAATAACATCTTAAAAAAAAAATAAAAATAAATAAAACAAAACTCACATGAAGTAAGGTATAGGGGCACCTGATTCTTGATTTTAGCTCTGTCATGATCTCAGGGTCGTAGGATGGAGCCCTGTATCAGGCTCCAGGCTCCACAGGGAACTCCGCTTGGGTTTCTCTCCCTCTGCCCCCGCTCCCCCACCTCCCGTAAATAAATAAAACAAGGTACATATTTATCAGTTAAAGAGTATGTGAAGAAACTCATTGGAGCCTAACCCCTATTTCCCCTAGTAGAAATGGTTTAGTGTATGCTAATTCAGTGTTTGTGGTGACTTTCTAGAATATAACTTACTGTGAATGACAAGAACCCACTGCATTTTGTTCAACCAGATTTTTAGTTCTTCCTACACTATGACGAATGTTTTATGCTCACTTGGAAAAAATACACAGAAAATTAGCAATAAATTATTCTAAATATTTGTAATTAGTGCATTGGTAACAATTCCCTTAAAATAGGACAGAGATGTTATTTCTGACAAAAATCTTCATGTTTCAATCCACTTTCCCCTATTAGCACTGCTGTCCTCCTCTTACCAAGAATAATTACTGATGTGGTCCCGTCTCCAACCTCTTCATCCTGCGTCCGGCTAATTTCAATCATGGATTTGGCTGCTGGATGCTGGACTTGAATCTGAAAAGGAAAATGCAGATTGCCACAGAATCAGCACTACTCAAAGCCTTTGGAACCCACTCTCCTCGGTCCTGACTCTCGAGCTTCTTACTTCCATATTCCCTCCCTTATCCGTTGTTTTACCACAGCTTGAAAGATTTTCAGTGGTCCTCAAAATATCTAAGTGAATCCTCTTTCCAAGTCCCCCTCTTTTTAGAGGAAAATGCAGATGCCAACTTAACTATTAAAGTTTCTTGAAGACAGAACAGTACCTCTTTTATAGCTTATTTACTGGGAGACCCACCCACTGGTTGAATTATATTTTCCAAAAGGACAGCTGAAGTCCTGCCCTCTGGAAACTGTGAATGTGAATGTTTTTGAAACAGGGTCTTTGCAGATGTAATCAAGATCTGCAAATTAGATCATACAAGATATTATGATAGGCCCTACATCCAACCACTGCTGGCCCTATACTAAGAGACACAACAGGAGAATGGCATATAACAACTGAGAAGGAGACTGAGTCCACAAGCCAAGGAATGTCAAGGATTGTGGTCAACCACCGGATGCTAGAAGCAACAAAGATTCTTTCCAAGAGCCTTCAGAAGGAGTAGGACCCTGCTGACACCTTGATTTTGGACTTCTAGCCTCCACGCTATGGGTGAATAAATTTCTATTGTTTAAAGCCACAGCAGTCCTAAGGAACTAACAATCGTGTATGTAACTTTATGGGTCCTTTATAAAATTATTAGAAAGCAAAATGAAAAGTCATACCTCTCGAAGAATGGCGTTGCCATCATTGGTCATCACAATGCCTCCCATTGGGTCCAAAAGCATCTAGGACAAAAGTAAAAGTTATACCTAAGTTACACATGTTCCAGATAACAGAAAGGGAAAATCTTTAAACAGTTCAGTAAGAGATCGGCCTACCTTCATCATGGACTTGGGTCCCAAACATGTGCGGATGATATCTGCAATGGTCTATCAAAAATGAGATATAAGACATGTAACCACCAATCAGAAGACTGTGTCAATGTGTGCGTTAGAACACATGTTAGGTACAGGACACCACGTGTCCAGATGCTGCTGTAATGATTTCAGGGTGGACGTATAAACAGTTTTTCACAGGAAAAGAGGGAACATGGCTTCCAGAGCTTCAGGTCCCCATAACTCAGATAATGGCAAGTCCGTGTATTAGTATTTCTTTCCATGATAGTGGCCTCCACACCGTGCTAAATCAGCTCCAGGGCTATTTCATTCTTTCATCCAAAAGACATTTACTGAATACCCAGCCAGGACCTACAATGGGCACTAGGAATACAAACGGGAATATAGTCCTTCCCCTCAAATAATTCAGTGTAGTATGGGAGGCAAACACACATAGACTACAAAACAATATACATTAATAGAATTATGCACAAGTAAATACGAGAAAACTATTAGGCCTAACTCATTGTGGGAGGGCATCCTTCTACCTACCACCATCAGAGAAATGTTCTCAAAGAAGGGAAGTCAAACTTTTCTTCTGCCTAATAGCAAACGAATACAAAAATACTAGAGAAGGCAGGTGGAGGCAAACTAATAAACTTTAAACTACTTAAAAGATATACTACCTTGGCTGCATTGATGTTTCCAGACTGAACTTTTCTTCCAGATTCACGCTTCATGTTCTGGCCTAAAATAGATAAAATAAAATGCAATAGATCAGGATTCGCCCATTGTATAGAAACTATTTATACCCTGACCTTTGAAAGTAAAAACATACTCAGGTTTCATGGATGTAACAAAGATCAAACTTCATCGAACTGTACACTCTAAATATGTGTAGGTTATTGTATGTCAACATACCTTAAGAAACTGTTAAAAAAATAAGCATATGTACTTATGGCTACTTCTTTACGTCAACCCCTGGCATACAAACAATCCCTAACACTTCAACTTTGGAACGCTGGTCATCGCTTTCCCACTAACCAAACATTCACATATTTACAGTAAGGATTCATAACCCGAGGTCCATGAATGAGCCTTAGTGGAATGGTGAACTCCTGCAGATTATGAGAAAATGGGGAGCTACTGCGTTCTTGTCTGGGAAGAGAATCTACAGCTATCAGATTCTCAAGGGGCTGGTGACCTAAAAAAAGCATCAATCACTGCTTTATGTGAAAAAGGAAGGAGTTTGGAGGTTCCTATTTTCATACCTGGGTAGGGGGAATCATACTGACAGTCCCAGCATAATTACTGACAGAGCCCCTCCAGGGTGCTGTGCAATGAGAATACCCTCTCAGAGTGCCTCAATTTGCAAGATACACTCACTCCACGCTTGGATGTAATAAGAATGCCTCAATAACCCCTCCACCATCAGAGCTGAGTACGTATGTTAACAGGGAGTCTACTGGGTTCTAGCCACAAGTGCCAGGGATGAATGCAGAGCGGAAAAAGGCTTCACAATGTACCACTCATCCCCGGGGCCCTCCCAGTGGAGACAAGTCAGTAGCTGTAACCAAACCAACATAATGCCGATCTCCCTCCTCTCTCCAAATTACACATTCCCTACAATTTAAATCAGTAAAATTTTCAACCAGTTCCATCAAATCTACAGGCTCACAACCCTCAGAATTTAGACTCCTATTTCAGGCAGCGGTAACTAAAATCCTGCATGGACTGTTCTGGTAGACTCATCAGAAGAAAGGGCTTTTCCCCAGTTAAGTGAAGTTTTTTTTTCTGAGAACAGTTATACAGGGAAAATAGAGGAAAATCGCGTTACTGCATTTTGTATACGGAAAAGGGTAAGGGAGGGACAAGGGCTTGCAGATGGGGTACAGAAGTTACTCGAAAAAGGGGGAACACCCCAGGGGAAGACAATGGAGGTGGTCCTCCTTAGAGAGAAATTTAGGAAAACTCAGTGGGAAAGATCTCAGCGCAGAGGACACCGCGGGATGAGTTACATCCAAGCCGGACTCGTCGCACGGCGGTCGCTGAAGGGAGACCCCGGGGGGCTGTCACGGAGAAGTGACCACGGCTACCACTCGCTGTGCGCAGACCCCCTTTTCGGCAGCTTACCCACTTGTCACTCAATCTCCCCGATCGCACGAGAAAAGACTTTAAGCCCCCCCAAAAAGGACGGGACGCTCGAGCCAGGCGATCCGGCGGGGCCACACGGCCACGGCGGTGAGGCCAGGCCAGACCACTTCCCATTCTCCAGCCCCGCACCGAAAACCACGCGAGCAGGGGTGCGGCGGCGGGGGAGTGCCGAGCGCCCGCGGACCAGCGGCTCGGCCAGGGGCAGGGAGACAAGGGTCCGGGCTCAGGGCACAGAGAGGAGCGGGAAAGGGGGTTTTCCGACACGAACGACGACGGGAAGCCTGCGCGGCCGGACCAGGGCGGGACCCGGCTGGGGCCACACGGCAAACCGGGGACGGAAGGAGCGAAAAGGGGGTCACTGCCTCTGCTTCCCCCAACTCACTGAGCACGAGCACCGGACGATGGCCCATCATGGCGGCGCGATGCAGAGCCGGGCACCCAGAGCTGGGGCAACCGGCAGAACCTTCTGGAGGCAGAGAACCAGAAAGAAGCCCAGAAAACGCTGCCTCTTCAGGGCTTACACCTAAACCCGCTAGCCTCCGCGTCGCTGCCAATCACCGCAGCCAGCTCATTGACCGGCACGAAGACCGGCCAATCGACTTCGTTAGCCCCGCCCTCTACGCAAGAACGGCAGGGCAAGCTAGATAGAGAGCGCGCGATGATGGAACGGGGAGGGCGCGGGCGCTTGCGCAGTAGGGCGGCCGCTCCCGGCCGCGTGCGGCGCGCAGGTCGGCGCAAGCGCGGAGGCTGGGGCAGTTGGCCGGCGCGCCACCGCGCATGTGTATCAACTACGAGGGTGGGGGCCGGGCGGGAGGCTTTTCGAGTAACAGCGCAGCTGAGGTCACTGAGCTGGCCGGCGTGTCGGGTCCTCCGGGGCCGCGATGGTCCCTTCCCAGCCTTAGCTGCGGGAGGAATAGCGGCGCGGGCCGCCTTGGGAGCTTGGTCTCTGGGGCCGGCTGGGTGGCAGAGCCCTTCTCTCCCCGAGCGCGCCCCTCGCCCTCCTTACGCAGGTGCGACTCGCAGTCGCTGGGAGCGGTGGCCGCGCCCGGTCTCCTGCCCGGGGCACGCCCCCGCGGCTTCCACGCCGGCTCCCCAGCGCCCTCCTCCTGCGCTCCACTGCCAGCCCATTGGAGATGATGGGGAGCCAGGATGTGGAAGTCACCTCGCAGCGCAGGAAAAAGGCTGGTGGGGTAGGAGGGAGAAGTGGAGGGAACCCCCGTTAGTGCGAGATTCTTAAGGTTTGGGCTTAAATGACTACTTTGTCCGGAAAAGAGGAAGCAATAGTAACAGACGTCTGTTTTCCAAACTAGTGAAGGGACCATGAGAGCACGAACAACTGAACAGTCGCTTATATCTGGTCATGAAACAGAACAGTACCTTCTTTCACACTTCTTCCTCCCCAAATTGGTGCAGCCCCGCATGTGCTGGAGAGAAGTTGTCAGTAGTAAAGTAATAGAACGGGTTTTTGGTCGTGTAACGCTGTGATTCTTCCCCAGGCACCGCACCTGTTGGTGTCCCGATGGAGCAGCACGCTAGCCCTCCCAGCGGAAAAGGTGTGTGTCTGAGGCCCTGCTCCCTCTCCCCTGAAAGCCAGACCTTAAGTGCTCAGAATTTGGGAAAGTCATTCTAGCCTGTATGTATTTTTTTTTTCCGTTTTCTCCGTTGATTGGAAAGTATTTGTAGCTGTTCTAGGATTCGGGGCGCTCCGCAGGCTCAGTCCGTAGAGCATGCGACTCTTGATCTCAGGGTCATGGAGTTCAAGCTCCCTGTTGGGCGTAGACCTTACTTTAAAAATAAATAAATAGATGGGAACATTGCTGTATTCCCAATGTCTATAACTGGATCTGTTACATAATAGTTGCTCAATGATATGTTGAGTGAATACATTATTCTTCCTTTGTTTCGCCTCTTACTACTTAGAACAAGACTTCATGTGCAGGGGTTCCAGGATACATAGTGTTGACCAGAGTAAACAGATACTCTGCTTGAGGGGGGGCGGTCCCACTCGGCGGGCAGGGAAATGCCTGGGGCAGGACTGACTCCAGAGCCCAGCCACGTGGAGTAGGTGACTCCATCCATCTGAGAGGCTGACTATGTCACAGCTTAGACATAATCGACCGCCTCTTTTCACAGAATGTTGTGACTGGTAAAGAACGTGACCGTGGAGTCCTCCAGCCCGGATTTAACCCCAGCACTGCCACGTGGCTAGTTGTGGAATCTTAAGCAAATTTCCTAACTAAAGTTTTCTCAAATAAAATGTGGAGAAAGCTACCTACTTCTTAGGGTCATTGTGAGAAATAGATAATGTGCGTAAAGCACCTTTTACTGTTATTTTCTACGTTCTGCTTCCCGTTGCTGCTCCCCAACCTCCTCCTCTGTTGTGTTGTCAGAGGTGTGGTTCCTTTATGCATTGTGTGTAAGTATTCTTCACACCTTCACACCTTACAACCTGGTAGAAAATGTATCCTCCTGTACCTAGGATGGGCCTGAATTGTTGAGAAGTGCATCTGTATGGAAATTAAAGTTAAATTTTTCCAGTGGTGAAAATAATCTCGAGACCCCAGTTTCAGCTTCTGTCTCCTTACCATTCTGCACGAGCCATCAAATGACAGATGAGATGAAGGGAAAAGAAGATGGAGGGCCTATAGCAGGGCTTGGAAAATCCGCAAACCCAGCCTAAAAAACCCTACAAGACAGATTTCCTTCACCAGGAGTAATAGGGAATAAAACAAATTTCCATTTTCGTAGGCCCAGTGAGTTTCCAAGTAGAAAGCACCTCAGCCTGGCACCTGTGTGTGAGGACTTCCCCCCCGCCCAGGCCACACCTCTGTTGCACTTGGAATTAAGGACAAGAATACGACATCTTCCTTTATACAACCTACCTGTCCCACTTCTGCCCCCAGGCTTGTTTTCCATGAAGACAGCCTTCCTGTACCTTCATCCTCCAAATCCCAGCAGAGACAGGATCGCTTCCGGGGAGCACAGTCCCCAGCTGCACAGATGTGTTCTAGATTGGGTGCTCTCTCGCACTTCTGGAGTGGAGTAACGTGCATGCTCGATCACTTAGTGATGATCTGCACCTCAGGACTCTCAGTTCCGTGAGAGCCGCCACCACGTGTGTTGGCTTGCTGTGGCATCGTCACGGGTGGATGCTCACGGGCACTTAGCTGTCTCCTAGAATGAGTGGATTCAGTTCTTCTGTCCTTGACCTTGGCCTGGCAGTGACTTGCAGGCTCCTTCAGAGGCCCAGCCATTTTGCCTCTCCGTCCATTGCTTCTCTGTACGCTTTGCCGCTTCCTTCTCATCTTCCAAACTCCTGAGGACGAGCTCCCCAAGATCCCATTTTCTCTCTCAGTTTTTTACTTTGGAGAGCTGATTTGTTTTTGCAGTTTCTTTATCCCCTCTTTGTGGCTGGCCTGGCAGTTTGACCTTTCACCTGAGCTCAGTGCCACCTCTGCCTGTTTTTGTAGGTATTTCTACCTGGACTGCCTAGTCTCCACTCATTAGTATGTCCAAAATACGATTTATGTTAATCTAATGGGGCCCCAACTCAGACTCCCCTGAGTAAACAAGGAAATTCAGAGGCTTGTGCAGTGGGAGGGAGGCTGAGATGGTCACAGGCCAGGAAGAAGGCCTGCAAGAGCTGGGGCCTCAGGGACTGTACTGGGGGACACAGTGCCTAAAGCTGTCAGTCAGTCCATCTCTCTCCTGTGCTCTTGTTTGTACCCTCTTGCTTGTATCTGCTCCTTACAGCATGCTGGCCAAATTCAGTAGCTTTCATCTGCCCCAACTTTACATTTTCCCAGCATAGCAGATCAGAAGAAAGCAAGCTGCTTTGACAACAGAATCCATATATGGATTCCCAGCTTGCCCATTGTGCTTACTCCTTGGATCATTCACAGTTGCCAAGGAGGATGAGATACCGTGGTTGGCCTGTGTTGTCTCACACGCCCCTTCCTCCTGGGGAGGAGGTCCCAGTATGGCCTGGGACCTGGGGAGAGTGGTTGTCCAGAGGAAGTGTTGCTCACTAGACAAAAGTAGCATATGTCTTCTGTAGAACTCATGCCCTTCCTACAAATCCATTTTTCCTTCTAACTTAATTCTTTTTGCCAAAGGTTATTTATTTTCCCATCAAGAACTTCTTTCACATCCAGCCTATTTTAATAACTGTAGATTAACAAAATACAGTTTTTATCACATTTTTTCTAATCCTAAAAGGCTCAATGGCTTTCCATTGTATTCAAGAGAAAGCCTGAAGTCTCAGATTCACTGTTGTGAAGGGTCTTCCATGGCTCATCCTGCTCTCCTGCGTTCCTCTTTTCTCCCACTTGAAATATCTTTCCACTCATCAAAAGCACCCTGTGTTCAAGGTCCAATAAATATCCTCTACCTGCCTGGACTCTTCTCTATCGTACTCATGTTGAGCTCTTGCACCTTTTCAAAAGTATCCATTTCTATGTTCAAATAACATTGAACTTTGGATAACTCAGATAAAAGACCTCATTTTCAGGGTGCCTGGGTGGCCCAGTCGGTTAAGCATCTGGCTTAATTTTGGCTCAGCTCATGATCTCAGGGTCATGAGATCGAGCCCTGCATCCGGCTCCGCACTCAGCATGGAGTCTGCTTGAGATTCTTTCTCTCAAATAATTAAATCTTAGTAATAATAAAGGTCTCATTTTCACCCAGACTGTCAGACGCATCGTTTAGGTCCTTAGGTGGATACATATCACATTTCGTCAGTGCCCTGTTTGTCTCCCAAAGAGATAGTACCTGAGAAACCATGAGTTCGAGGTCTTGTGACGCCCGAGTGTCTAGCACAGGAATAAGCATGTGGCACACGCCCGTGAGCACTTGTCAGGTGTGAGCTGAACCCATCCCTGCTTGGTTTCCCTTACTCCCACTATGGTTTCTTTTTTGTCTTATGTAACTTCAGTTGGAGCTACTAAGGGCAGGGCCTTGGCACCTGTGTTCATAGGCCAAATGCAGAGATCTAGTTAGAAAGGCTAGAAATTGTTAGAAATAACTCTGAATAGTTGCCTCTGGTTTTGTTCCAGCCAAAGAGGAAAGTAATGTTGTGCCTCTTTGTCGAGCCAAACACTCCCCTAGCTTTATTAATCTTCAAGCAAGTTCCCCACCGGCCACTTTCCTGAACATCCAGAACACAAAGCTGCCCTCAGGTAAGGATGCAGGGCAGGTTCCCCAAATGGACCCCATGCAGGATGGGGAGGGGTTGCATGGAGGAAGTGGCCTGAGCTTTCTCCCGTTGATCTGGTGCCAACTCTGGGTCATTGGCAGCTTGTTGATTATTCAGGTCTACTGATTTCATTTTCTTCCCGATTCTACCAATTTGTGTTGGTTTCCTTATTAGCACTTTTACTAGGCTAGGTGACTGAAAGGAAAATTTTATTGCTTGCTAGTGGCTAGGGAAGGGAATGGTAGGCATTAGCTCAGTTTGTCGCATTTCAGTTATTCACATTCCTGCAGGGAAATCAGTGGGCGTTTAGGATACTGGCGGGGAGCCTAACCAGGTGCTAGACAGCCATGACAACAGTGTTTGCTGACCTCAGAGTTTAACAAAGAAGTCAAGGCCGATAAATACACAAAAAAGTAGGCAAATGACTCCCAAAGTTACCTAGGAACTGGCTGCATGTAATGTCGTTGAAAACATTAGGAAAAATTGGGCTAATGCAGCAAGACTGGTTGAAATGAGGCAATAGGAGGGGCTGCAGGTCACTGCTGATCCGACACTGTGTCAGGTAAGAAGGAGGCTAAGGCATCCCTGGGGCCTCAGTCGGATCTTTGCACTCACTCATCAAGTATGTTTTGAATACTTAGGCACCAGGGCATGCTTTTAGGTGCTGGGAATACAACAGTGAGCAATCAGACAAAACTCCCTGCCTTCCTGGAGCTTACGTTCTAGAGAGGGGACTTCAACAACAAATAAGTAATCACAGAACATGCTGTATGATCATAAATTCTATGGGAAAAAAATTTAGCAAGGGACGAAGGTATCAAATCCCAGTGATGGTTTTCCAGTTAAAATAGGGTGGCCGGGTAGGCGACAGGCGAGCAAAGGTACATGTGCGCCGAGTTGTGCAGGAAACATTAGAGCCCTCCCCACCCCAGTACAGTTACAGAGTCTCCTGTCCCCTTTGTACCTCCTTTGCTCTCCCTTCAGGAGTTGACCACAAGCCCAAGGAATGCCTGGGACTCCTAGAATGTATGTATGCCAATCTCCAGCTCCAGACCCGGCTCACCCAACAACAGATGGCTATTTTGGAAAATTTACAAGCATCCATGACACAGCTGGCTCCTGGGAAGGGAAGCAAGAACTCTTCTCTCCCAGCCTTATCCCGCAATCTGTTGTTAAATCACCTGCCCCAGTTCAGTAAATGAATTGTGGAACAAAGTTACTGTGTATGTTTTCTCCGTTCTCCCCAGCAAACTCTTGGTGGAACCTGGGCATAGATATTCTGCACATGGTTGGTTGGTTCGCAAGTTCACAGTAAGTGCTCGTTGGATGCAAAGCACTGGACAAGGCACTTGGGGATATGTATCACGGTAAAGACCATCTTAGGGATTTACTGTCTAACAACGCAGCTAAGACCGATAATTCATTGCAAAATGTAGTGGTCCTTGGAGGGGCCTTGAGGGGGAGGGGAGTTGCGAGGGGGAGGCAGCTGGACCCATCTTGGACTCTGGCCGCAGGAAGTGGTCTTATGGTGCCACGTGATGGAGTGGCGGGGCATAGATAGATGGAATAAGGTGGCTTCATGTCAGTTGAGAGGCTTGGACAAAGACCTTGAGGTAGGAGAATAAATCATCAGAAATTAGGAGAAGAGGGCGCCTGGGTGGCTCAGTCGGTTAGGCAGCTGCCTTTGGCTCAGGTCATGATCCCGGGGTCCTGGGATCGAGCCCCGCATTGGGCTCCCTGCTCAGCGGGAGGCCTGCTTCTCCCTCTCCCACTCCCCCTGCTTGTGTTCCCTCTCTCACTGTCTCTCTCTCTCTGTCAAATAAATAAATAAAATCTTAAAAAAAAAAAAAAAGAAATTAGGAGAAGAGGCTTCCCCCCTCCGCCCCCCCGAATATAGGGTGTGAGGTAGAATGGAGAGCAGCTGAGAACTGACCAGGTAGCTTTCCCGGGGCAATTGTACTAATGGCGGCCACTAGAAGCTCTGATTTTATTTGAGGCACTGGAGAGCCATTGGAAGCTTTCCAATAGCAGCAGGGCACGGGTAAGGTCATAGAAACAACATGGGCAGGCATTTTGGGGTGGAGGGAGAATGGCACTTGAGAGACCTGCATAAATTGATAATCGGATGTGAAACTACCATGGGCTGGATAAAGGGCTTAGAAATGAAGACAGGTAATGTCCTCAGGACAGAGTGGGTGAATCTGAGCTCTACTGCAGAGAACGACTGACTACCAGCTTCGAACTTGAAACACCAAGACACAGCATCTGTAAATTTCTCCACTGGGAAGTCAGTTTAGCTTTAGTGAGGGGTCAAGTCCAGCCATAAATTTCCAGTCATTGAGAAGAGGACACATGAGGTTAGCTTAGCCACGTGAGCCACACTGGGTCGTCACTTTCTTACAGATGTGTTGGCAACTTACTCTTGAGACTGGGTCCTCTTTCCACAGAGGCCTTCTTTTCCTATGGAATGCGGGGAAAGAGCTGGGTTGGGATGCAGAGGTGAGGAGGAGAGAAAGCAATAATTAAGAAGAGGACTTCACTCTCAATCTGGAGGTGTTTTTAGGTCTAAAATGAGTCTCTTGTAGACAGCATATGGATGGGTCCTGCTTTTTTATCCAATCTGATACCCTGTGTCTTTTGATTGGAGCATTTAGCCCATTTACATTCAGAGTAACTATTGAAAGATAAGGAATTGGGGCGCCTGGGTGGCTCAGTTGGTTAGGCGACTGCCTTCGGCTCAAGTCATGATCCCAGGGTCCTGGGATCTAGCCGCATCGGGCTCCCTGCTCCACGGGGAGACTGCTTTTCCCTCTTCCTCTGCCCCTCCCTCCCATTCGTGCTCTCTCAAATAAGTAAGTAAAATCTTAAAAAAAAGATTTTGCTGGGGCACCTGGGTGGCTCAGTCAGTTAAGCATCTGTCTTAGGCTCAGGACATGATCTCAGGGTCCTGGGATCGAACCCCGTATCCAGCTCCCTGCTCAGTGGGGAGCCTGCTTCTTCCTCTGTGCTCTCCCTCTCTCTCTCTCTCAAATAAATAAAATCTTGGGGCACCTGGGTGGCTCAGTTGTTAAGCGTCTGCCTTCGGCTCAGGTCATGATCCCGGATCCTGGGATCGAGCCCCGCATCGGGCTCCTTGCTCTGCGGGGAGCCTGCTTCTCCCTCTCCCACTCCCCCTGCTTGTGTTCCCTCTCTCGCTGTCTCTCTCTCTCTCAAATAAATAAAATCTTTTAAATAAATAAATAAATAAAATCTTTAAAAAAATAAAAAGATTTTGCTCATTTATTTGAAAGAGGGAGCCTGAGTGGGGGGAGGGGCAGAGGAAGAGGGAGAAGCAGACTCCTTGCTAAGGGGGAAGCCTGACACGGGCCTCAATCCTAGGACCATGAGATCACGTCCTAAGCTGAAGTCAGACACTTAACTGACTGAGCCATCCAGGTGCCCTTTATTTTTATTTTTGAGAGAGAGAGAGAGAGAGCCAGTGGGGGGGGGGGCGGTGGTAGGCAGAGGGAAAGAATCTCAAGCAGACTCTGCACTGAGCTCGGAGCTTGATTCAGGGCTTGATCTCACAACCCTGAGATTATTACCTGAGCTAAAATCAAGAGTTGGTCACCTAACCAACTGAGCCACCCAGGTGCCCCTCAATTAAAAAAAAAAAAAAATTTAAGTCATGCTAAATGGAAAGATAGTCTATGTTCATGGATAGGAAGACTCAATGTTGATAAAACATCAGTTCTTCCCAGGGCGCCTGGGTGGCTCAGTTGGTTAAGCGACTGCCTTCGGCTCAGGTCATGATCCTGGAGTCCCTGGATCGAGTCCTGCAGCAGGCTCCCTGCTTGGCAGGGAGTCTGCTTCTCCCTCTGACCCTCCCCCCTCTCATGTGCTCTCTCTCATTCTCTCTCTCTCAAATAAATAAATAAAATCTTTAAAAAAAAAAAATCAGTTCTTCCCAACTTGATCTTTTTTTTTTTTTTTTTTAAGTAGGCTCCACGCTGGGTGTGGAGCCCAATGCGGGGCTTGAACTCACAACACTGAGATCAAGACCTGAGCCAAGATCAAGAGTCAGGACACTTAACCTACTGAGCCACCCAGGCACCCCATTCCCAACTTGATCTATAGATTAAATGTAATCTTAATCAAAATCCCAGCAAATTATTTTGTTGATATTGAAAAACTTATTGTAAGGTATGTATGGAGAGGTAAAAGACCCAGAATAGCCAACACAATGTTGAAGAAGAACAAAGTTGGAGCACCTTGGAGATGGTCCCTGACTCCAAGACTTCATATAAAGCTGCACTAGTCAAGAGAGTGTGGTATTGGTGAAAGGCTAGACAAATAGACCAATGGAACACAATGGAGAGCCCAGACATAGACCCACATAAATATAGACAACTCCTCTTTGACAAAGGAGGAAAGGTAATCCAATGGAGAAAGGATAGTCTTTTCAGTAGTGTTGGAACAACTGGACATCCACAAACAAAACGTGAATCTGGACTCCTTTCTCTCTCACCGATGTCCAGTCCTTCAGTAAGCCCTGTCAGTTCTAGCTTCCAAATCTACCCAGAGCCCAACTGCTTCTGTCTTCTCCATGTTACCATGACTACTGGCTCTTGCCTGGATTGTGGTGCTGGCCTCTCGACTGGCTGCCTGCTTCCACTATTCCCTACACTCCTGCCCCCTGGGCAGCCAGAAGGTCCTTTAAAATAGTAAATCAGGGGCGCCTGGGTGGCTCAGTCATTAAGTGTCTGTCTTTGGCTCAGGTCATGATCCCAGGGTCCTGGGATGGAGCCCCGCATCAGGCTCCCTGCTCGGCCGGAAGCCTGCTTCTCCCTCTCCCACTCCCCCTGCTTGTGTTCCCTCTCTCGCTGTCTCTCTCTCTCTGTCAAATAAATAAATAAAATCTTTTAAAAAAATGAAGTAGTAAATCAGATCATATTATTCCTCTGCTCTTAACTCCTCTGTTGCTCCCCATTATCCTTACAGGAAGGTCACGCTCCTTACCAGGGCCTTGAGTGATACGTGTCTGGCCCATGCCTCCCTGCACTGCCTCCTTGCTCACCACACCAGCCGCCTTGCCCTCCATGCTGTTCCACCTCAGGGGCAGTGCGTTTGCTGTTCCCTCTGCCCAGGGGTCTGTGGGAGCCCCTTTCTGGCTTCCTGCTTGCATCTCCTGTGTCTCCCGAGGCCTTTCCCAGCAATCTGGCCTCACACGCCCTTCCCTTCCATCACTCCATCCTCTCGCTCAGCCTTGTCTACATCAAACCTCTTAGGGCATCTTAAATAGCTATTTGTGTGTGTTTCCTGAATCTCCCCCACTAGGAAAGCGTCTCCTTGAGGGCAAAGTCAGTGTCTTTATTTGTTCACTGCTGTATCCCCAGGGGCAAAGCCAGGCCTGCTTGACCTTGCAAAGTGTGGCTCAATAAACAGCTATGAACGAAAGGCTGAGCAGCTATGACTTTGCTTACCAGCATCAAGAGCTCCAGATTTCACATCCCGCCTGTGTCTCAGGGGCCTGGTGTGCTGGCAGGCCTGCAGGACGGAGACCCGGAGCAGGCAGCCCACGTCCTAAGGGTGCACTAGATGAGGCGAAATTTTCCGGTGTTCACGGCCCAGTCCAGTCCCTCTTCTGCAGCCAGGAGCTTCCTAGAACCAGCAGCCCCTGTCAGAGATGGAAGGGACCCACCTCACCACCTCCATGCTGGCTGTTCCCGCCCTGCAGTGGACGTCCCCCACCAGGCCCTGGGCAGAAATCTGCTCTACAGTTGTTCTGTCCTGGGTCATATGTGAAGAACATTTCTGCTCAGTTGCTCCCTTTCCAGACAAGACAGGTGTTCATCAAAACTCATGTTTGGGGAAGACTGGCAGGGAGCATGGGGCTGGCCTAGGAGAGGGAGTCCCTGGACTCCCTGCAGGGGGAAGCAGTAGGACGTGAGCCAGCTTTCCCGGCTGGTCCGGGATGGACTGTGGTTCTGGTTGGTTCCGTGGTGGTGGTGGAGTCCTTGGGAGCACTTGGGAGGAAGAGAAGCCGGGGGGACACGTGGTGTTCTGTCCCCTGCCCCTTTAACTGTGGTCACACCCACATGACCCATTCCCCTGAGCAAGCTCCCTGCCCCCGCACCCTACATTCCCTCCTGGCTTTTCTCTTAAGGGGCCCCAGTCAGGCACTTGAGGATTAGATGAACACCCTTCGTTTTGTGCTCAAAACTAAGGACTGAGGGCCAGTCTCCAGACCTCCCTAGCAGTGCACACATTTCCCCTAAGGCAGGAAGCAGGAGGAACAGAAGGCAAAGAAATGGCCATACCGTTTACTTGCGTGTTTCCTTATTAACAGCAGTAATTACCATGAGCTCTGCTGCTGAGGACACCCTGCGGGTCACGTGCTTCATGGACATTCATCCTCACAACAGCCCTTGGGAGGTGGGTTCTCTCCCTGTAACAGGCGAGGTTCAAGGCTTGGTAAACAACTTGTGCAAAATCTCTCTGGGACAAAGCTGAGCCTCTGACCTATGTCCCCACGTTCCAATATGCCCTTACCTTCTGCACTTCGCTGTCTCCCAAAACTTTTACTGTCGGGAATTCACCCCAGACCCCCAGCAGGAAAGGCTAGGATTGTACTTTGGAAACAGGGCTACTGTCAAGCCCTAGCAACTGAGAGATCGTCTCCTCCGTCTTGGCGTCCTGAGAGCAGAGTGCGGTTCTGTCCCGTGCGGGGGCGGCGGAGTGTCGGGGAAATCCCCCAGAACCCCAGAATCCAGCACAGCACCTGGCCTGTCACAGGAATGCAGGTAGAGTGTTAAATGCATGAAAAAAACTGGGGACTTGAGATCACTGCCTCCTGACAAACTTTTTTCAAGGTACTGTCATTTTGATTTTACAGATGAAGGAAGCTTAAGCAAAAACGATCTGACAGTCTTTTATGTGCACACTAAGATGGTGAGGCCCTGGGCAGAGAAAGCCATGTCTAAGTTTCACCATGCTGTGTATGTAAATACAGCAATGTTTTACGTGGCTTTGCAGTGGCTGTTGTCTTCAGGAGGGTCTGAGGTCTGCAGTTCGTCCAGCCCCAGAAAATGGGCATTGAGGAGCTCTCTAATATAGCCTCTTTTCTCTTCATACCAGAGCGCTGCACAAAAAGGAACCCCTTCCTCCACCCCAGCTGTGAAATTAGGCTAGATCTCAAAGTAAGCATCACCTCCTCTTGGAAGCCTTCCCCCTGACCACCCCACCACGGGTTAGTGCCCCCGGCCTGTCCCCAGGACAGCCCTCCGCAGCCTGATCCTGCCCGTTCACTTACATCCCCTGAGGGCGGGGGCTCGGTCTCTCTCCAGCCGCCCCCCAGCCCCAAGCACAGTGCCCGGCGCTCAGCAGGTGCTCAGTGTGTTTGAGGAATGAAGGCGGGCTCTGCCCTTCCCCGGATCTCCTCTGTCCACGAGTTGTCCTGTCACTGGGGATGCTGGTCGGATGGCCCTTCTGGAATGTGCTTGTCCCAGGCCCCAGGCCCCCACTGCTCACCCCCTCCAGTTCCGACAGGAGCATGCGTGGAGGCTGCCCCTCCGCCTGTTGCTGTCCCGAGTCACCGTGTGCCCCACGGTGTGCTGGAGTCAGTCGTCTGTTCTGTCTGCTCAGCCACTCCAGACAGTACTGATGGCCACACTTGCCGAAGCTTACAAGACGCCGGCACTCGACGTCCACTCGGGGCTCCTCGAAACCGGTCCTACAGATGAGGAACCCGATCCAGAGGACTCAGTACTTGCCCGGGGCCCCGCTGAGGCTCTGGAGGGTGAAGGAACACACCAACACGAGTCTGACAGGCTCTGGTGCTTTGCCACTTGTCTCCCATTGGCTCCCATGATGCTGCAAATAGCTCAGGGAGCTACAGGAGCCAGGTGGCTTTGGGGATTCCTGAGCCGAGAGAACAGGGAGCCAGGAGGAGGTGACCCCCGTGGAGAGCAGCTGCATGCACCCCCGCGTTACTCAGTAACCCAAGCCTCGGTCCCCACAGACCGCCGGGCCATACCAGGCCAGGGCAGGCAGCCCACGGCAGTCCCCTTGGCCACCCTCCAGGCGCCCAGCTGGTCACGGGTGGGAACTGGAGAAGGGAGGTCCGAGATGGGGCAGACCCCCGGCCGGCAGGATGGGAGCTGGTAACAGACTCAGGGGCCCCTCGGGGGAGGTGTGGGTGGAGGGAGGATTGAGAAACAAAGCCCCCCCCTTCCACCAGAGCTTCCAGGCCCAGAGGAGGCAGGGGGAGGGCAGGGGCCCTGACATGTCACTTGGATGGAGCCTCTTCTTTCTGGGTGGTGGGCCAGGGGAGTCCTCACAGGTGGAGGCCTGTCAGGGGGGACCCTCAGAAGGGGAGAACTGTCAGGATCTTGCCCTCTGCTGGACCAGGGGTGGTAGTACCAAGCTGGTACCTCTAGTTATTAAAATATAATGATCTTTCCATACAGGTTGGCAAACAGATGTTGCCCAGGTGTCTACTCTCCACAGGCTGGCCCAGCTATTCTGGCCCTTCTGGGGGTTCCCTCTAGACCTCCTGACATCCAGTAGATCCAGTGGAGGTCCCTCTAGACCTCTAGGACCCACTGGACCCACCTGAGTCATGCATGTTGATTAGAATCTCGGGTCATAGACCCAGGCCCTGGCCCAGGGTTGGTACTAAGCGAATAGTTGTTGGATGCATGAATGAACAACAGAGGAGGGGGAATCTGAGATCCAGAGGCATTCAGAAACTACGAGTGATGACAAGTGAGACAGAGAGGGGAGGCTCCCAGAAGATGCTGGGAGGGCCCAGCCCACTCCTTCTTGCTCTCCCTGGTTCTTCAGCTTATGAGGGCTCTTCCCCTTGTAGGGCCTGTCCAGACCCTGCCTGGACAACCCGGAGTGGCCCCCACTCCCAGACAGTGCCCAGAAAGCAAGCCGCATCCCTGGGGCAGAAGGCTGGGCCTGGGAGGATATCCCAGATAAATTGTCCAAGAATCATTATCTGACCAGACATCTCCTACCCACCCCCAACCCCTGCAGAAGGGCCTAGAAAACAGCCTTCCTGCTGACCAAGTAGTGACAGAGAGCCTCTGGGCCAAGGGCCAGGGGCCACTGAAGGCCAGAGAGCCTGCTTGGCCTGCTGGGAGCCGTACCACAGAGGCTGACCCCTGCCCTTCCAGGCCTGCTTGGCTGGGGACTGACTTAAGTCAGGAAGCTAGACAGCTAGAATCCAGCTGTCCCCCAGAGTCCACGCTAGGCTGGAGGCTAAAGCCCATGGCAGGAAGGGAAGAGGAGATGAACTGCACAAAGGACAGAAGGGGAAGCAAGGAGGAGGGTCAGGGACTGCACTGTCTCCCCTGTCCCTGCGCATTGCTGTCAGGAGCCCCACTTTGCATCTGCTCTGGGGGGTGGCTGGTCGCTGTGAGCCTAGGCAACATCCTCTGGGAATGGTAGCTATTCCTTCAGACAGGGGTCTGGTACTTCTTTGCAAACACCGAGAAGCCCCTCCCACACAACAGGCCCCTCAGACTAGGCTGGGCAGCAGGGTGGACGGAGGGCTTCCCCTCCCACCAGCCCCATTGAGACACCCCTCCGCTTTTCTTCTGTGAAGCCCCTTGTGGCCCAATAGTGCCAGGGTCTTCCGCCCGTGAGAGCCCTCCAGGGGCCCCGCGCCCACAGGGTAGAGGCCATGCGCCTCAGCAGCGCTTTCAAGGCCTTTCTAGACTCCCCCCGCCCCAGCTTCAGTCCCTGAACACACTGGGCACTCCCGTGGCAGGCTTCTGTCTTTGCAGGAATGTCCCCTCCTCCTTCTTTGCTTGCCCAATTTCTAGGTTGTCCTTCTAGACTGCCTGCAGACATGACCTCCCAGGAAGCAGCTCATGTCTGTGCCCACCTTGATCCCCACTGCCATGGTGGGTTCTGCTGCCTCTCCTCCTGGGCCCCCATGGCCTCTGTGCTTCCTAAGGTCACACATTCACCCCACTGCGAATTCAGTTCCCTCCTAGGTGTTGGTCTGCCAACTGCACAGTGGCTCCTGGAGGGAGGGGTCATGTGGTTCATCTCCAAAGCCTGGCTCTCAGTAGGCGTCAGTCAGTCTGTGTCCTTACCGTCTCTCTCTACCTGGACCCCGGCCGACGTAGACCTTGCTCGTGTTACAAGGGGCTCCTGACTCCGGGCCGAGAAGACCCTTCTCCATCCAGCTTCCTTTCTTTCCAGCTGCTGAGGCAGGCCAGGTCTCCTCATACCCATGCAGGCGTGCAGGGAGCCCAGCTCTCAGCCTGGCCAGCTGCTGGGCGTGGTGGGAGGCCTAGGAGGCTTGGGGCCCAGGGGAGAGACTCTGCTGCTGAGGCCGGGTTAATCATCAATGCCTGGACAGCGCCTCTTTACCTCCGTTCTCCATCTGGCTTTTTCAGTTGGGAAAAGATTGAGTAACCCCTCAACTGTCTCTGGTGTTAACCCTGGAGGGGCCAGGCCCCGGCCTTAAACGGCCTCTTATTCCTTGGGAAACACTCTCTAAACTAACACCACGTTTGAGGGCAGGGTCCTCCCCCATCCCCCCACTCTCCCCAGGTCCCTCAGCCGTGCCCCATCGGGGCAGGTCACAGGCCATCTCCAAGGACCTGTCCGAACCCGAACAGCGCGAGGGGCAGCTGGGCCAAGGGAGACAGGGCCTGGGGGTCCTGACGCCTCCTCCCCGCCCGGCCCTTGCGCCACCTCAGGCCTTGGGCCCAGGCCCTCGCCGCCCTGGTTCCGCACCTGCCGGGGCTGAGTCTGCGCGTGGGCCTCCGCCCGGCTCGGGCGGTGGGGGCCTGGCTCTGGGGGCGGGGCTGAGCCTCGGCGTGGGGCTGGGTTTGGCCCTGGTGGGCGGGGCCTGGCTCCCGGGGAAGCTGCCCGCCCTGCCCCGGAGCGTGTGCGCTGTGCGCCCCGAGCCCGAGCCGGAGCCGCGGCCTGGAGGGCCCTGTCCATGGCCGGGTCCCCCGCCGCGCCGCGAGCCGGCGGCTGCAGCTGCCCCTGCTGTGCCTCCTCCTCCAGGGCGCCACCGCCATCCTCTCTGCGGTCTTCGTCCGCTACAACCACGAAACCGACGCCGCCCTCTGGCGCTGGGGCAACCACAGCAACGCGGACAATGAATTTTACTTTCGCTACCCGAGTGAGTGCGGGTGAGGGCGCGGGGAGCAAAGAGCCCGAGGTCCGCGGTGTCTCGGGCGTCTGTATCTACCCCAGGAGGGCACCCCTCTGGCTCCGGGAGGAAGGTGCCCCGGATTTGTAGGAACAGCCTTTCTCGGTGTCTGCGGTGTCCCGGGCATTGTGCTGAGGGCGGCACATGCATTATCTCATTTAGCCCATGAAGTAGACAAAGATGGGCAAACCCAGCCTCGAGGACATTACGAGGCTGGGTAAGGTTCAGGCTGTCGGAGTTGAGGGAGCTGGGATTCAAACCCAGATCTGAGCTTTAAGTGCTCCCCGTCTCGCCTCCCATTTGGCCTAACTGGGCTTTGCAGGGCTGTTCCAGAGACTGCCTTTCGAGGGCCCCCACCCTGATCACAGGAAAGAGAATCCTCCCTGGCAGGGGAGGTAGGGAGTGGTGTGCAGAAAGTGGTAATGGGGGGCGCCTGGGTGGCTCAGTCGTTAAGCGTCCGCCTTCGGCTCAGGTCATGGTCCCAGGGTCCTGGGATCGAGCCCCGCATCGGGCTCCCTGCTCCGCGGGAGGCCTGCTTCTCCCTCTCCCGCTCCCCCTGCTTGTGTTCCCTCTCTCGCTGTGTCTCTATCAAATAAATAAGTAAAATCTTTAAAAATAATAATAGCAGGTGAAGGGGCGCCTGGGTGGCTCAGTCGTTAAGCGTCTGCCTTCCGCTCGGGTCATGATCCCGGGGTCCTGGGATCAAGCCCCGCATCGGGCTCCCTGCTCTGTGGGAAGCCTGCTTCTCCCTCTCCCACTCCCCCTGCTTGTGTTCCCTCTCTCGCTGTGTCTTTCTCTATCAAATAAATAAGTAAAATCTTAAAAAAAAAAAAAAGAAAGAAAGAAAGTGGTAATGGCAGGTACTCGCTATGAAGGCAGCCAAGACTCGTGGCGCTCAGGCATTTCCTCCCCAGCCACTCAAAACGGGCCCTTCCGGAGTCAGAGTCGGAGCACAGCCGCAGAGCTTCAGCCCCCGGTCCTGAGAAGGAAGCATGGCAGGGTCATTAGCCCATTTCCCAGGGGAGGAAACTGAGGCTCAGAGGGCTTGTGACTTGCTCATGATCGCCCACCGCGTGAATGGCAGAACAGGGACTAGGACTCGAGCATCCCAAGCAACATCCCCTGCTGGGGACAGAGCCTCTCCCAAGAGACTGGGGCCCCCCCTTGCAGGTCAGGCCCTGGGCAGCTGGGACCAAAGATACCAGATCTCTAGACTTCATCACCACTGCTGGGCAGGACTTCTCTCAGCCTCAGTGTTCCCCATCAGGGCAATGGGGAGAAGGATGCCTCAGTTTGAGGGATGTACATTCAAACAAGGCCCAGAGTGTGAGTCTCCTATAAAACTCCAGGTTGTCATTACCCTGCTTTCCATATGCTGAGCTGGTGGCAGGCTGTCCCCACCTGACCCTCTCCCAGTCCCAACCCCGACAATGAGGTTCCCGACGCTGAGGACATAGAGGGTGAGAGGCACTGGGCCTGAGCAAGAAGTGCCAGACCGCCAGACCCCCAGGCCCCAGACCCCCAGACCCCCAGCCATCCTCAGCAGAAGGTCTGCAGCTCCTCCCTCCTGTGTTTCACGTCAGCCCTGTCTGCACAAGGTGAGCCACAGAGGCTGGGATGGCAGACTCCTGGGGGGTGCATTTGTCCAGACAAGTAGAGAGTTGGGAGGGAACAGCCCCAGGCTGAGAGAAGTAAGCTCTTGTCCAAGTGTCTGACCTGGCTGCCTGCCAGGACCCCCCATTTGCTCCTTCCCTGGGCCTCACTCAAGGCCTCGGTGCCCTGCTTGTCTCAAGGTTCCCCCGGAAACGCCCCAGGCTGTCGCCCCTCTGCTGCAACGGGGGGGGGGGGGCTCTCCTGGGACATGCAGCTCTCCCTGGGCTGCAGTAAAGGGAATGGAGTGGGAATCCTACCTCTTTGCTGCCCTAGGTTTCTATCCTTGTGGACTTGAGACCCTGGTGTGGGGGAAGGTTGGGGCAGAGGGAAGC